AGACAACAGAGGCTTTCAAAAAACGTGCAAACATTATAGGCCATCACTACCTCAATTAATTCCAATATAGAATGAAACGAAAAAGCGACGGAAGTAGACATGGGAGTGAAACGAAAACGCGACAGATTCGGAGTAGGAAAAAACGAGAGAGGGGTAGGATGTCTGGAGGGGCATTACCTCCGACGAAATGAGCCATGAGTGTTATGGGAAGGGGCGGAGTGGCGGGTTGGCCGGCGGGAGGGGGGGGGGCACGGTAGGTAACTCAATAATCCCAAAGACTCAACAATCAGATCAGGCACGACAATAGATGTAATTTTCTCAAGATATTCAAATAATTTACAATCACGAGTTTTCATTTCCTATTTTTCATACCACAAACCAATTGTATCTTTTCTTGAACATAAAAGTATGCAAGTAAATGAATAGATTTTTTATAAATGGAGGTGAAAACATCAACTATCTTTTTTCATTAACCTAATACCCTTAAAAATTCTAGAATAATGAATAGTCGCTTCTGTTATTGGAAAAATATTTCTATCTCATACAACTTGCTGGTTAGGATGAGTATTTTCATTTAATGTGCCCATCGAGCTCCATTGAGTTTTACTTCTATCGCCTAGCTTTCTAGGCTGACAATTTTTTTTAAGACAAGTCACGAAACGCTTTCCTGATTCTATTGGCCGCCGCGTCCACAGGGACTTTTAGAAATTCGTATTGACCATCCGGCACAACACAGGATGTGTAACTTCGACTTCCCTCCTCAGTAGGAACGTAGAAGAACCGATTCTTTAAATCTAGCGTGCGGAAAATCCTGGTCCCTCTGAAGCTTATCTAATTGATCCTCAATTAGATGCAAGGGATATCGGTCTTTAATAATTTTCTCGTTAAGAAGACGATAGTCAATACGTATCCGCCAGGAAACGTTTGTCTTCTTTACTGAAACAACTGGACATGCCTAATCGGTGTGAGAGGGCTTGATTATGCCTGACTCTAAACATGTCTTAATTTGTCAATCGATTTCTTGTTTCTCCGTGTAAGACAGCCATGGTGCTCTTTGATAAACTGAAATGTTGTCTTTCAAAATTAAATTCATCTTAATGTTTGGTTCACGTGCAGCATATGGATTATAACCTTGAATGATACTGTTAATTTTATCCCGCTGTCTGACACTAGAGATATGTTGAAACTCGCGGCCCTCGATATCCGACGTATTAATATGAAAAACATCAAGAACCGTCGAATCATTCACTAAATTATTATTATTATTTGTTAAGCCTACCCCGTCAAACGTAATCGCTGGACCTAACCGCGGACCATTCATTCTCTTATACATACTGTCATTCAACAACGTAACGTGACAATCAGTATCGATCAGCGCAACAACTTTGGTACCTGTGACGGTCACTTCGTTTGTCTTCTTCATCCCATCAGATCTGGATACATTGTAGATGGCTGTGCGTTTCACCGACCTCTCTGGTTTAGTACACTTTGTTGAAATGCCAAGTTCATTATATTTGAAACACTTGGAACCTTTGTTATTGTCTGAACACTTTGAACGCACATGATTTTTGTCTCCCTAATTAAAGGGTGTATCTTTTGTTGGCTTAGCGCCTTTGCTTCATTCGTTCATACTGTATGAGTTTCTCCTCTAACTTTACAATAGTTGTTGCTCCATATAAAAATCTGCTGCAACATCGATTCTTTTTCTTCCTCGACTCCTCATAGATGGCACAATTTCGCTGAATTCACTCTTAAGGGCTTTCTTTAATTTTGCCCATGCCCTCAACCCTTTTTCGAACCTTCCAAATAATGTTACCAATCCCTTCAGTAACTTATTCGGGTAGGCGATTTTCTGCATATCTGACATGCGCAAAGCTCGGCCATTCCTTTAAAATCAGCCAACCACGCCGCGATTGTTAACTTGCCTTCTCCACTGAAATTCTCCATAGTCTTGGACATAGAGCCTTACCCTCACTGGAGCGTGATCTTCTTCTTCCTCGTCTGAGTGTTCTGTCGATTCTTCTGGATCTTTATGCTCTGCCGGATCGTCTTCATCATAGTTGATATTAGACGGTTTATTTTTAGATAGAGATAAGGCTGTGTTTACTCGAGGTATCATCTTTATTGCCCGTTGTTTCGAGCCCTCGTTTTTTCAATACGTCTTTAAGTTCGGAAACTTTCATCTCAGTACCCAGGTGGGGATTAACCATTGGTCCGAGCTTGGGCCAA